GTTATCCTAGCACTCTGGGAGGCCAAGGCAGGAGAATCACTTGAGCTCAGGAGTTCAGGATTGTAGTACAGAGGAACAATTAAATAGAAGAAAAAATTAATGAGAGTTTAAGACATGGAGGATAGAATGAGAAATATTAGCATATCTAATAAGAGTGACAGAAACATTAGAGAGAATAGAGGTAAGGTAATTCAAAGAGATAATGGAGGGTGCATTTCCAGAATTGATGAAATATGAATCCACATATGATGATAGAGACAGACAAAAAAAGCACCTACCAACTGGCAGATGACTTCTGAACAGAAACAATGGAAAAAGTCAACAGTGGACTACTACCTTCTGAGCAGTGAAAGAAATTAAAACTATCAACCTAGAATTACAGACTGAACAAAGCCATCTTTTAAGAAAAAGGGCAAAATACGTTTTCAGGGTTAAGAAAATTTATGACTAACAATCCTCCACCAAAAAAACTTCTAAAGATGTTCATCAGGAAAAGGGAAAATGACCCCCATAAGAAAGTCTGAGATGAAAGAAGAAACAATAATAATAGTAAGTTAAATATCATGTGCCTAATTCTACATAACCTGTACTTTAAAAAAAAGGATTTAATAATAGCATATATGTCAGAAGTGAAGTAATAGACACTAAAGATATTTCTTCTCTTGATGGACTGCCCTGCATCCTCACTTCAGAGACCACTGGTGTGGGTTATATACATACACCAGTGTTCATGTACAGTAGACAGCAAGGTTGGCTGCAATCATTTCAGAAGTCTTGTTAAAACCATGAGCCAAGCCATAAGCTGCAGTCCCAACCTGGTCTGTGGCCCATTAAGGACCAGGTCGCCACCCCTTCCCACCTCCACCCCCCACACTCAATGCCCCACTAGTGGAAAAATTGTTTTCCATGAAACTTAGGAAGGAGGGGGTGCACAGCAGGAGGTGAGTGGCTGGGGCGCAAAGCTTCATTTCATCTGTATTTAAAGCTGCTTCCCAATCTCTTGCATCACTGCCTGAGTGCCACCTTCTCTAAACCACCTCTGTCTATGGAAAAACTGTCTTCCATGAAACCAGTTCCTGGTGCCAAAAAGATTGGGGACCGCTGCCATAAAGCATTTATAAGTTTGGTATGAAAGGACAAAGGCAGGGCACTCCATACAGAGGAAATAGTAAAGGTTTAGAAGTAGAGATAAAGATGGCATGCCCTGTTCTTCCTCTAATAAAGTATATCACTTCCTATGTTCCTCTACAATCTCGAAGACAAAACAAAGCAAACAAACAAAAAAACCACCTCCTAGAATTAATAGTATGAGTAGAGTAACAGTGGAAAATGTCAGAGATTTATTTGGTAGGTCACTTAATTTTCTCTCTGAAGGCTTCAGCCTCTCAGATTATTATACGTAATGTCCACCCTTAGCAACGTCACTAATATATTTTGATGATAAATGAAAAAATGCAAAGGGAATGTTACAATACTGATCTTTTACTACTCTTTCTAGTCACCATGCTGGCTACTGGCAATACATAATAAAGGAGACAAAGTCAGGCAGCAATTAGAATACAGTGTGATAGGTGCTGTGACAGATGAAGGACTCACAAACTCATGGATAATGGCAAAGGCATGCTTTCCTCTCACCTTTTCACACTATTGACAATTATTCCTATAGGACAAATTACTAATGGCCACCTAGTGACATTAAGTAATTGTTATTATCATCCTCAATTTCAGATCAAAAGACTCACCATCAAGAGTTTTTTATTAAAGATTTTTTTTAACCAAATTCAACTTTAAAATATCCCAAGAAGTAGTCAAATCCATTTCCTTCATACTGATCAAAATTTCATCACAGAAAGCTAGACTGGACATGTTTGATCCCCAAAAATTAGCATAATCTGAGTTTTTCCAAAACACTAAAATTTTTTTGTTTCATTAAAAAACACATAAGAGTAATGGTAATATGTTATCTATGTCCATGGTGGAATTATCCAAGTATAATCTAACAAAAGAAAATAAAGATAAATCTTTCAAACAGTCATTCTTTTCCTGAACTTACTCTTTACAACCTAAAATAAACACATTTTGCATGGATTCTATTATCTGCAACATGTATTTTCTACTTTATTATGAAGTGCTTATTGCCTTAAAAGTTAATCATTGGCTGTTCTGTTGTATTCAGCCAGTTGAAGCCTACTAACACAGCACTCACAAATCCTTCTTCTAAGAAAATACCCCTGAAAAAGTATACACACAATGTTCTCAAAAAAAACCAATTCTTTCTCATTCTACTATATCCAGTAGTACTATATAAGAGATCAGTGCTATAACATTTCCCTTTTGAATTTTTTAATTTCTCCTGAATATATATTAGTGACATCGGGAAGGGTAGATATTGCATAGTCCCAACTCCATATATATGTATGATCAAAGAAATTTCTGTATTAATTGCAAATGAGAAAAAAAACCAAGATAGCTTTTTAAATTACTGTATTTGTTGATTTAATTTCTAAAGGTAATAAAATGTTTTCAGTTACTGTCTCTGATATTCCAAAGGACTTAGAACCCTTTACTAGTCATATGAATATAAAATTTTCATAACTATTTTTTTAAAATGTCACTTAATTGAAAATGACTACAAAAAATGTACATTTTGACTGTTATACTAGCATCAATATATTAGCTAACAAGTAGGTTTGTTACTATATTTCATAGATGAGAGGTAAGAATGAATAATACTATTTACTATCAACTAGAAAATAGAGACAACAATGGTGACTGAATAGCCATCAGTAGTGACCTCTTTGATAAATATCTATAACATTTATAAACCAATTTAGCCTTATTTATACAATGTCTTCTACTGTACATTCTTTGTTTGGCATTACATTTATCTCTTCTGTAAGCTCCTTGAGGGGAGAGGCCTTGTCTTAAATACTACTTCTGCATTCCTTCCAGTTCAAAAATAGCTGAGTGCATACTTATTGATTAATTAACAGCTGTGGTACAATAGATATTTTCCATGGCAATTGGGAGAAAATTAGAATGTGGGTAAAGTAAGCTAAATGGAGATACCGTTATATACGATACACTAAGGGATGAGACCATAAAAGTGACTTTGAAATATCATGTTCAGAAAAAGCAAATGAGTTTATACAGCACGTTTTCAGAAGGTACTCAAGACAAAATGTGTCACACTATTACTGCTGAGCTTTAAAATCCTTCTTTTTTTTTTTTTGGTCTAACATGAGAGGCTGCATTTTGAACTATTCCTTGATGCATATTTCTATTAATATAATGCTACTTCATGTCTGTATAAAGTACCTTATTATTATCCAAAAGAAAATAAAAACAATGTATTTTCCACTCCTCCTAGGTTAACACATACAGTATTTGGCTAATAAAAACAAAGGTCATCATCTGTCTTACTTTTCATTCACACTCCTGAATGACAGGAATTTTTATAGAGGTCCTGTTAGAAAAATTCTGTGCCAACTTGGCTTTAAAATCAGCTTAAACCAAATTTCTCATCTTCTTCTCTGATCTGTCCAATCTCTCAACTGAAATTATGTATCGATTATATTTGTAAGTTGTTATGATGCATAATAATTAAGTTTTAATTTAAGATAGCAGCCTTACACTACCTTTACCATTTTAAATGCATGACACTAGAGAGGACAAAAGCATACTCTGAAACATCTTCATAGGTCCTCTAACAATGGTCTCTTACTAGAATTTCTCCTCCCTTCTCATAATTATATTAAGTTTCTGTGTTCCCCTACTCTCCAAGATTAAACAATCTGCTTATACCCCCTCTGACAACTCAGAAGTGAGCTTGTATCTCTTCTCTCATGTCTTTTGTCTAAGAATGCCAAAGCACTTCATTATTTTATTCTACCAACCCTGTGAAGTCACTGGTACATCAAAAGCTGGAGGGCTGATGAGTTAACTAGACAACCAGACATCTCTGGACAGCAGACCAAAACTGAGTTCTAGCTCCTTAAAAACAGTCGGAAAATCAGGCAAGGCCCTATTTACAGGTCTTGAGGGTTTTATACAGAAACAAAAAACCTTTCCCACAAAGGAACTCGCACACATACACAATTGTACTTTTTAGAAGGTGGAAATACAACAGATCTTGTTCTTTTAGTTTTCAAGAGTTTAAACGCCAGGGATATCTGCATCTTGATAAAAAGTCCTGAGGGCAATTTGATCAAAGACACAGAAAATCCTTCCTTCAAAGAAATACACCTTGTGACACTCCAAGAAGGAGGAGAGAGATTTAAAGTAAAACCTGCCCTGAATCATTACCACTGACTTGAGGAAGAGATTAAAAAGCCATTGGCTTCATATGGCTTTTAAACATTTTGCTGTAACCCCAGGGCCACAGAAGCCGTGAAATTCTTCTACTCATCTCTACTAAAGAGTATCACAGCTGTATAAACTCATACACACATACACACACACATCTCTACTTCCATTCCCATCCTTCTGCCTTTGGCGCCCATGACCCCAAATGTGGACACCAATGCTACAAAAAGCAAAGTCATGGGACAATGCGGGGAGGGGGTGTGTGCAAAGGACTGAAAGATTGAAAGATCCAGAAAAGCAGAGGTAGCTGGCTCATCTGTTATCGTAAAGCCAACACTCACTCGGGTGGGGACACAGAATGCAGAGGTAGAAATAAAGCAATCCTGAATGCCCACTCTGCCATCTCCTCCTGCCTCTCTGCCCTCCATCACCCCATCCGCTCCTGGAGGACCACCTACGAGCGAGAGGGCTCCACTCACAGTCCCCCCACCCTCACCCTTGAGGGGAAAGAGGCGAAATGGGGTTGGAATGAAGAATAGGGCTGAGCAGTGGGTTAGGGTCACGCCGAGCTCCAGGTGGAGACCCTGCCGCGGGTGGCCGCACAGGGGGACGAGGGATGGCCCAGGCGAGGGTGAGGTGGGGATCGGAGGAGGGTCTCGTCCCCGCCGCTCCCGGGGAAGGCTCCGGTTACTCACATTTTCCGTGTCCCGCTCGTTCACCGTCGGCAATGGCGTCCGGGCCGACATTTTGTGCGGGCGACGGGGTCGGGCCTGGGTCTCGCCGGCCGGGCTGGGGTGCGGGCCCCGGGGGCGAGAAGAAGGGAGCGCGGACGCGAGCAAAAGGCCGGGGCCGGGGCGAGCGGCTCCCGCAGGCCGCGGGGCGGTGCAACAAGCGGCCCCGGCGGGGGAGACGGGGAAGAGGACGCGGAGGAAGGGGAGGGGGAGCCGCTTCCCGCGGCGGCGGCGCCGGGGGACGCGGGCAGTAACGAGGGAGGGCTCCGGGCGAGGCGGTTGCCCGGCGCTGGCCAGGCGGGGAGGATGGCAGGATGCGGCGCCGAAAGGAAGGAGGCAGGGCAGGGGAGGCGGGAGGCGGCGGCCAGGGCCCACTAGGCTCTCCGGGCCATGGGTGAAGGTGAACCCGGAGCCTCAAATCACTGCCCGGCCCGTCCCGGCGAGCGCGCCTCGGCGTCGGAAGCCGCGGCCCTGACAGCGCCGCCCGCGCCGCGCCCCGCTCGTCGCCTCAGGTGTGCGGCGCCGCCCGACCCAGCCGCATCCACGCGCCCGGGGCCCAGCGGCGGCGGCGCCCTGAGCCCCCGGCGCGAGCGTCCCGGCTCCGTCCGCGCGGTCACCGCCCCCGCCGCCGCGCCTCAGTCGGGAGGAGCGGCCCGAGCCGGCTGCGCGCGGAGCGGCGGGCGCGGCACGCAGCGTCCGGAGGCACTTGGCGGCCGCCGCCGGGTGGGCGGGCGCCAGCCGAGGGGGCCTCTCCATTCATTCCCTCATTAGGGATGCGGGGCCGCCTCCTCCTCCTCCTCCTGCGCGCTCTCGCCTGCCGGTCCCAGTGTTTATTTTTGTTTCTTGCCCCACCCGCGGAGTTTACGGTCGTCTAAGAGCCTCTGGTGGTTTTATTTTTATTCGTGTTTGGTTTTTGCCGGGTTGGAATGAGAGGGAGCCGATGCAAATAAGTGGCCTTAAAAAAAATTTTTTTTTGTTCGTTTCATTGCGGAAGAATTGGGTACAATTCTACCCTGGATCTTACACCTCCTCTCTCCTACCTCAGGACTTTTGCATTCTTAAATTCTACTCTGTCCCCCCCGTTTCCATGCTTTCTCAATTCCTGTCCTCGCCTGAGCCCTCTTTCAGTCAGTCCCCTTCTCTCGGGAGCCGCTAGGTTCAGGGTCACCCTCATGGTTGAGCAAAGGGCACAAAAGCCTTCAGAAGCGCCAGCGGCCTCGGCCTCTGAGGGACGGCTGGAGGATCCCGAGTGCGAGGGGCTCGGCCCCGACGGCGCAGCTGCTTGAGAATGGGGCCAGCGAAGGAGGTCTCCCGGCGCCCCGCTGCACCCCCGGAGTGGGTGAGACCCCGGAGTCACAACGTCTACACTGGCTGGTCGTCACTTCCTGGGACACAAGGAAGTATCACTTAGGCGAGCTCATTTAGGGAGGGTGGACAGCTGTCTTTGATTTTGGCCCTGTCTTACCCCTTCCAGGCGGCTCCCTTCCGTTCCACTCACCTGCCACTCATTGCATCCTGCAGACATCCCTGTCTACAGAGCGCTCATTGTCCAGGGCCCAATTAGCCCTTGGTAAGCAACGCTGCTTTTTTTCTATCTCATCTGAGAGGTTACATTTTGCACATTCAGCCTCTAAGACAAAAACCTTAGCATCTCTCTATTCCTCTTCTTTCCAATATTTTTTTCTCACTTCCATTCATGGATGGGCAGGAAAATAAAAGGAGCAATAGATAGGAGGGGATAGATCCATTTTTTTAGCTACTTCCATAAGCCTCCAATCGAAATTTTATGACGGTGGGAAATTCCTCCTGTCTCCTGAAGTTCATCCATTTGAAGAAAAAATCCTTGCACCAGATGGTTTTTATCCTGACTCATTAAAGGTTGTTTCTGAAAAGTTAACACTTGACCCTTAAAACATGGGTTCATTCAAAAGACCTAAAAATAGCAAACACAGAAATCCTCTGAGAAAAAAACAATTCTCACTCAATATATATTCGCTTCTTGAACACCATCTATGTATTTATTTCTTTAGCATTTTATCTTGTTAGCAATTTCCAATTTCACAAAGCAAATGAAAATCACGAGATTCCTTTGGTGGTGATCACCACTCTTCAAACAGAATTTAGGTTATGGAACTACAAGGCCACCTCCTAAACTGTGATGTGTGAGTGGGAATGCCAAGCTTTTGCAGTCCCTCTGCAGAGATCCAGAAGAACCAAGATGTCTTGAAGTTGCCAGGGCATAAGCTTGTACTTTCCTTTATCAACTAGAGTGACTGTTGCCTACAGGGACTGCTAATACAGTGTCAGCAGCACCATTGACTGCTGCAGCCGCACAAGGGTACCTTGTGTTACAGTAGTACCTGAGTTAATCTGGAAATAAACAAATACCTGTGAAAGGGTGTTCAGCCCCATTGGAGTATGAATTATTCCTTTAGCTGGTAGCTTGGTTTTGCTCTTCATAGTATACTCACGTCTTATGCCATAACTTTATCCTCATGGTGACGCTTACAGGCATATTTATTTCCATTTTATAAAATGCCACTAAGTAGACTTATTCAAGATCACGGATGCACCAGGTTAAGAAGATACAGAAGATAACTGGAATATGTGGTACTGTTCAATCTGGCACCAGTCACAAAACCCACAAGTCCACCCCCTTGTAGGGTCTAATGGCTAATTAGAGACAGACCTCAAAGGAGAGCCAGGATTCTGGCACAGTGGCTTCCACAGACTAAAGTGGACAAATTAAAAGCCGTGGACAAATCCCTTAGCTATATTTTCTGCACTGTGCTTGCATACTGAAACTTACTGAATATTATATAATAGTAAGGAATATTTATTTTTTAAGTCATCACCCAAAGAAAGTTTAATAACAGTGGAATTACATTCAAAAGGAGTCATTACTGGGTAACTAAAATCCATAATTCTAGCTAACAAAATAGACTAGAAACAACTCCATCTATCTAAACCATAGCATTCAAATAATCCTTATTAATACCCACAGTTTTTGACTTGGTATATAATGAAAACTAAGTGAAAATGCATTTTGCATAGGTTTGAAAAAAGTCATTGTGTTTTTCTAAAAGGAATTATTGAGTGTGTACTCCTATGTGAGCTCTTCTCTCCTTAAAATGGCATGAGGCAGTATTGTAATGGAATCAAAACTATTTAGCCCTTAGTCCTTAATAATGAAAGTGTTCATAAGCAAAATTTTCTTTTGTCACTATATATAGCTTGTGTGCCTGTGACTATGGAGAAGTGACAAAAGAAATATTTTAAGGCTGTGAGTAATTTTCTTTAGGGTTATCAACCAAATGTGGCATATTCAATTTAGAGGTTTCTAACTTAGTGTGTTAGGATAATAAAAGTTTCAGAAGAAATTTGAAGTACTGACAAAACAAAAGAGAAATAAAGATCACTAAACCTACCCTGAAATGTGGTAAATCGCCTACCATCAGCATTGTGGAGTAGAATTCTAGAAGCACACTGTCCAATCTGTAGGTACTTGATATATGTTGCTATTGAGCAGTTAACATGTTGCTTGAATTTTTAATTTCATATAATTTTAAATAATTTAAATTTAAAAACTGGTTTGATTCTGTGATTGGAAAATTTTAATTATGTTTGAAAAAACTGAATTATATGATTCTACCTTTTCAACTATAAATTTTCAGAAATCTACATACAGATCACATATTTCTGATGGAAACTTATCACCTGAAATGCGATGTGAGGTAAGTATAAAATGCACACCAGATTTTTAAAGACTTAGGGGGAAAAGAAGTAGTAGTAAGATATCTCAATAAGTATTGTAATGATTACATATTAAAATGCTAATATTTTAATATGTTGGGTTGAATAAAATATATTGTTAAAATTAATTTCAACTATTTCTTTTTAATTTTTCAAATGTGGATACTGAAAAATATAAACTTACATATGTGGTTTTCATTATGTCTCTGTTGGATAGTATTCTCTATATGGTCAAAACTGAGAATGAAAAGATTTCGTTGGTAAAGAACCAGAGGCCTTGATTAGAACCTGTTAATAATTCATTCTGTGGTAGAGTGGTACCCAATGAGCATATATGGGGTACTGCTCTACCACATGCCAAGCTGTGCTGTTCAAAGGGAATATTCTTCACCTATAGTTACCAGTAGTTAGCCTTATTGTACTCTTTTTAAAGAGCTAAGTGGGAAACATGTTGAATTCATGACTGTTAACAGATTGCAGTCATTTGTAAGTGAAGAATTTATCAAATGTGACAGATTCAGCAAAGTTAATAGTAAACTCTTAAAACTGCATATTTCTTATATCATGTGCTTTAAATGAATCTAATGTCTGATAGACTTGGCCAGGCAATTTATTGAGGGTATACTTTGTTCCAGGTACCACAAGGCTGTTTACAGTCTTTCATTTAACCACATAAGAAAACTACAAGATGAAAGGTTGTACAGGGTAACAAAGAGCTGACCCAGCTAAAGAGAAACCTAGTTAATGTCCATCAGGAAAGAGTAATCAGTTCTTTTCATAAACAAACTGGGTTCTGATTGCATGCCTATATTGAATAAGGTAAATTTTTATTGTGTCAATATTCATCACTTAAAATATAGAATCACTGAAATAGACAGGGCTTCAAAAGAAAAGATAGATTGTATTTTAAAAACTATATGAAGCTTTTGCCTTTTACATTGTACATATGATCATAGAAGGACTAAAAAGTCCTTGTTATTATTTAATCTGTATTTATCTTTATAGCCATCAATATATAAGTAGAAGTATCAACCCAAGAGTCAGCCAGTGTGCTATTTAGGTTGTGCCACTCCACACCTTACCAACAGAATCTCCACCTGAGAAATGCTTACTCTCCTTTCCCACAAGCACTCTAAGGTCAGCAATATTGGACTGTTTGCATTTCCCCAAATATACCCTACTGCTTGACTCCTTTGAGCCTTTGTGTCATTTGTTCTGTCTTCCTGGCATGTACTTTCCTCTTTTCTGCCTGAAGGCATCAGAGCTGATCCTTAAAAACCTTCTTTTGGAAACCTTCTCTGACATTCTTATTCCTCCCCACATCCACATAGTTAATGAATCTCTCCCTCTGCACTACCTCTGTACCCTGGGCAGTCTTCTACTGTTGTTCTCCTTGTACCGTGTACCTGGCTGGTCCCCTACGTGACTGTTTGATAGGAAAAGGAAGGGAATATGTTTTACTTAAATTCTTTTTATCCAGAGCCTAGCATAGTGCCCAATCATTAGTAGGTGCCCAATTTCCTAAATGACCTTTATGGACTTGTCCCATGTTGTATATTCTCCTGTGCTTCCACATTCTTTTGAATTCATATAGGAATTGAAAATATATTATTTAAGAATAATTAAAGTTTACAACTAGGGACATATGAGTAGATAAAAAGTTGACACAATATGCAAAATATCTTCCCAATAAAAGTTATTGACTTGGTAGTAAAGTGGCTCTGTTCTGCCTCTTGTTGAGTAGTAGCTTAACATAGTGCTGCTAATTATACTGCTCTGTGATTTTAGTGTAATCATTTTTTATCCATACTTAGGAGTAGCTGATCATTGATATTTTGATAGAATAGCCTTTTAAACAAGTTATCTGCATAAACCAAGGTGTACCAACAGCAAGTACCTGGTCAAGAGGAAGCACTTCAAAAGTA